TGCGCGCGCCACCGGCATCGGAGCTGTCGCCGGGCTGCAAGATTTGCGGGTCCGCCGCATCCGTTGATGCCAATCGCGGGAAGGATCGGGTTGGGATTCCTCCTCTCTGTTCTGCTTAACTTAACTGCGTTTCTGACCACTCTGTCTGTAGTCTCTCTGAAGCCTTTATCGGCCTGTTCTTATGTATCTGTTTGCTCGAGATTCTGACTCTATAATACGGACATGACGTTACTCTAGTGGGCTCTGTCCAACGAGCCGAGCAATGATCTGATCCGTATTTCTGTTTCTGCTTACGGACTTGATGTCGTCATACTGGGCCGAGCCCAGTCCTGACTGATGACTCGCTCTGATCCGTCCGTTCTGCCTATACCTTCCGATTTTTTCGGCGGTTAACTGGTTGTGATGACTGCAAACTTTGTCCCCTGGACAGAAATAGTTTGCTCTTAGCTCTGATACTATTTTCATTTACGATTTCTGTTCTGGTCGTGATGAATCGGGGTTCGCTCTCTCTTTCGAGATACGCGCATAAGCCCGATCTGACACCTCTGATACGTTCCCCGGAATTGGGCCGCGGAATAACGTCACGCTGACGTCACTTACTGATCCTTCTGATTCATTTATTTCTCTTTTTCTGTCTTAGTTCCATTTTATCGTTCTGCGAACTCCCCCGGAGGGGAGGATAGTGTGACGATTCGTGTGTATTGACCGCATACCGAACTCGCCATAGTATTTTACTCTGCGCCTATTGGTGATTCTGATCTGGTCGTATACGCATTCCGGTTCCGTTGCGTTCCGTTCTGGTCTGTCGCTACATGCCCGAAAGCGTATCACGTGCTACTGTGACAATCTGACACTATACCGGTTTATTGCTGTGTCATGATTTGACAGCCGAGATGCCGCATATCGTTCAGCATGTACGAGTCTGTGCGTACACTGTATAATGCATAGCGTGAATGTTGTGACATTGCGTGCATGGAGTCCGAAGCCGAAGGTCCGCCCTGAAGCTGACCTATTGGAACTACTGGTCTGACTCTACACTTCTCTTAGTAACTGGACATGAGGTAATTCCTCGCTTGCGAGCAAGGTTCCAAGTCCACGAACAGGAAGGAGGAGGACACTTCTGTAGTTACAATTTCTGGAAGAAGGGCGCTCCTCGGTTTTCATGGCTACCGCATAGGCAACCGTAATCTTCCGCTGCATCCTCTGATCGCATTACCCTCCTTATAGCTCATAGCTTTGGATGAGCCGCCACACAGGTGGCCTCAGATTGGTTGTAGTAGTAAGAACTTTCTTCTAGCCTCCGACGTGCATTTGAGATACAAAAATCTCTTTACTTGTCATGATTAGACTGTGATTGCCTTATGCATGATCTTGGGGTCTTCTCATTTTCTGACTCATGCGATTTCATCACACTACGCTTTCAATTCGGCTTGCTTTAGAGTGATTCAATAGATGAATGCAACCTGGTTCTCTACTCGCTGGCTGATTCGGACCGTCCGATCTTGAAGAGACGCTCCTTTAAATATTGCAACCAAAGATTTCCGGAGAAAGGACCGCAAGCCTATTCTAACTTCGACGAGACCCAGTCTCAACGCCGTGGGTCTTTGTAATTAAGTCAAGGCAAGCGTGAGAAAGCTCTTTAGGTGTTTGGAAAGCCGCCTCTGGAAAGAAAAGCAGTCGCCCGTCTTTGCGACGACTGTTCCGTGCTATCCTTTCCGCTGGTTCCGTTACTCTCTACTTCCACTTCCATTGGAGTCGAGTCCTTTCATTGCGCTGGAATCAAATTAACTCTAACCTTCTCTTGGGCTTCTAGGCTGCCGCATCTTAGCGGACGCAAAGAGCATTGCGCCGCCATATGACGTCAGCCTACAGCTCTCTGCCACAGTTTTACGTTCTTTCCGATCGCCGCTCTTGGTGTAAAAACTTCCCCTTCAATCTCTTCCAGCACCGGCGCCCCTTCACATCGATGGCGTGCGCCGACTGCAGATCCTCATAATCCGGTCCGGTAGATGCTCCTGATTGTACGAAACCGCTCGGTGCGGTCCCGCGGTTGGCGGATTCCGAGCCTGAGCGTCTTTACTCCTTCTCTTTTTGCGTACACTTCCGGCTGCTTTGGTGCCGCCAGTTTTCCCCCGGGCTGTGCCAAGCCGCCCGCCTGTATAATCCGACCGCATGCGTTTCCCAATGAATATTCAAAGAGGCGGACAGAAGCACTGGGGCGTCGCTTGTTCCTCTGGGCGCCAGAATCATCACATCGGGGGGCTTTTTACCGGTTGCAAAAATCTGAGCGCAGTAGAAAACGAAGCGTTGTCGAAGCTGCTTGAGAGGGGTTTACCAACCGCTGTTTCGGGCCGGGAGATGCTTGTTGCGCCTGGCAATTCATCCTCACCTACTTTCTAATCTTTGCGCAGGTCGCTGGCGAGAAAGGCGCCAAAGCCCCCTATGTGCTGCTCGAATCTGCTGCTGCCGTCGGGCGGAACTCTTCCAATCCCTTCGAGACCGCTTCTTATGCTGTAAAACTTTGATGCAAGCACTCGTGCCAACGGTGGACCCGCTCGTCATCCCACCAACGACATCCCACCCGAGCTGCAGGAGCGGCTCTAGTCCTGACCGTCCGCTGAAGTACTCTCACGAGGAAGGGACTCCGGAGAAATTCAGAGCGTACATCATGCGGATGCATGGCGGAGTGGTTGGCGGAGGGTGGGGAGCGGAGTGCAAGGCGAACCGGTGAGGTACCATGTCCTCGACTATAAGCGCAAACATGAGGCTAGACTGTTTGCCGCAAGATTCTGCACCTTTCGTCCCGCCAGAAAGTTGGGGCAAAACAAGAAAAGCCTGTTCTAGGCGAAAAGAAGGCCTCCTCGTCAGACGGACCTGACGCAGATCGTCCGCTTTATGTTCTTATGTCTTTTTGACCGTCAGTCAGCCGTTTCGAGCCTGCGGTGAGCAGCCTTGCAAGTCAATCAAAGCATTTGCTTGTCACGCAGCTTACGAATTTCAGTTGAACGACGTGAAACAGAACGCGGCCCGGGCGGTTTTTCCACTGCAGCGCAAATGGGGACGAGCATGTACTGGGCTGAAAGATGGATCGCTAAGCAAACACTCTTCTTCTGAGGTGTCCGAACCCCATGTTTGAAAACAGCCAGGTCACCATTGGCGTCACTCAGCACCGAGACCCTCGCCTTCCTCAATCCGGAAGAACGTCTCCTTCTTGGGCTGAAGGACCCCCTGGTTATCACTCAACACTTTTACTTTCATCCAACGCGCGCGTGCATCCATCGAGACGTTCGCTCGGCGTATGCACCCAAGGAGGAGGGCGGCAGACTGCAGAATAACCACGGGCGGGGCATCTCGAAGAGTTTTTTAGAACGAACCTCCTTTCCATCCGTGGTCGAACTGAGAGACGAGGAACTAGAGCAGCTTCGAGAAGGCGGACTCTCGTGGATTGGAGAGATTCTCGGCCGTGTTTAGTGCTCTGTTGACTTCCGGCAACGACATTTGACGATCACTCGAAGCATGAACGATAACAGGATCTGCGGGGCTTTGAGAAATCTAGCCTTACTGGCTTTGCTTCTGTTGGCAAACCCTGAAAAGATGAGTTCATTGGAACGAAGGAACTTCTTCTTTGTTGATTCGTAACTCAGAGTCAAATCTGCATAATGACGGGCTCCGGCAATGCATTTGCAGCATTTATGATTGTCGTCCATCATGACCACTGCGGCCGCATTATAAATTGATCGAGATGCATGACGGTTCCTTTAAACCGTTCATTGTTGAGTTGTATGCCGTTAACAATACCTATATAATGAGCGCCGTATATACGAATGATCTCATGGTGCATCGCGTGGTATTTTAAATTACCACGCAGCTTTGAAACCGCATAGCATAACCGTGAGGCTATTTCAAAGGTTGACGTGATACACGCAATTATGTGTTTGCAGAGCAGTTGTGTGTCTCCAACGGACCGAATCGAGAATTGATGCGTGCACCCAAGGCCGTGATGCATCCTTCGGAAGTACATGAGATCCGCTCTTGGTTATAGGTTTCATTGACTGGTGGTGTAATCTTTTGTGGCCATCCTGTATCTGAGATTGCAGACGGCTCCCGCACATTGAGTCAAGCAACAACTAAAGATGGCAGTCCTCAGGTTGCCTTTAGGAACTTGAGTGCGATATAGTACCAGCAACATCAAATCATAGAACTTGACCATAGCTAGGTACCATGCATCCAATGGAATAACGTACGCCTTAGACGGGTCACCTACACCTAATTGTCGAGTTTTGTGAAAGCAGAGAATCGGCTTGTAGTACCCATCGTACTGCTTGATTTCTGAACGGTCATGATTGACCGACATACGGAGTAAGATCGGTTCTAAAAATCTCGTAATTTCAAGCCTTGTTAAAAGTTCTGCATCTAGTCAAACATGCACGCAAGTTTAAGACGACATGCGATGTGGTCTCAACATTCATCAAGTAATGAATTGGAACTCGAATGACCGTTGCCGCATTCTTATACAACCGTCGGATCAGTGCATACTTCCTTGCATTCTGTTGACGGAGTCCAATCGTCATCATTCTTTTGGGCTTCGTGCACGATTGTCCAGTCCTTTTCTGGCGATCCAAAGACATCAACCGCACTAGAGGTTCCTGCCACTGTTCGATCCTGCAAACGGTACATCTGCTGCCTATCAAGGTGCGCCATCCCCACTTGCTCGTGGACCCTGGAAGCCTGACGCGACGGGCCTACCGGGGGCCGATGCGGGCTCCGAGCTGCTCCCTTGATCGGTTCCGAAACTTTTTTCTGTCCTCTAGGGGCTAGACAGGATTGTGGGCGGATGAACCAGATTTGGACGCAAATCCCTAGTCTCCCATGGTTGCGGGGCTGTCTGAAAACTAGAGAAGTAGGCGTCCAGGCCGGTCGGGGAGAACGGCGACTTGCCAAGGCGAGGCCGACGATGAGCGTGCTTTGGCATCTCGGTGGCCAGGCCTAAGAAAGCGAAAAAAGAATGAGTTGGGTAACGAACAAAAGTTTGGAATGAAAACTTTTCGAAAGCGAGACAAAACCCTTTCCATTCGCCTTCTCCTCGTTATTCGCCCGGACTTCCAGCAATCGGAACCTTCAAAAGTGTATACTCAGCAGGCTGGTTTGAGCAGATGCTTCGCCAATCATCAGGTTCATGAAAGTGGAAGGACGGTCGCAATCGATTTTCTGCCAAAAAATACTTTTAGCTTGTCTTCGATCTCAATTGAGTGGGCATAGCTCGTGTTTTTGCAAGGCGGTTATCCGGAGCTCTTGGCACTACGACTGTTACGCATACAGTCGTTGTCGTTCTCGTTCCCCATGAATTAAGCCATCAGAAGTATCAAAGCCTTGGCTAGCCGCTTCATTTAGATACTCGAGTCACCATTTGCCTTTCGCGTTTTGATTACTTGCTCAAGCGGACTGGATCCTCACCCGCTGATGCGGCAGGAAGCTGCCCATCTTGCCATGAGGAAGTTGGAATCTCCAACCGAAGAAGCCCAAAACTCTGCTTCGTAACCACCCCCGGCCCCTGCTCAAACCCTTCTCTCCCTTGCGGCCGTGCAACCGAGCCGAACCCCGCTGGGATGTTTTCCGGCCGGCTGTGCAGGTCGGGCCGTCCGCTTCCTCCACCGAGTGACCTCATTGAAAATGCTTCAGCCCCGATCGTTTCCCACGGCCTCTTTGAGCGAAAAGAATCGCTCCCAGTCCAAAATCGCACTTCGTTGTGAGTTACTCCCCTTGGACTCCGCGCATTGGGACCGATTCGCTCACCTCCCTACGCGACACCTCCGAATCCCCCAGGACTGCCCATCACAGAAACCCTGCGCTCACTGTTGGTACTTCTCCAACTGGGACACAAGCTATCGAAAGTGGGTACCGGCCGAGTCGATTTTGACTCGGTTCGCGACGAAATATCGATACCGCGTATCAAATTTCGTCAGTGTTACTCGCGGTTCACGATACGACGACTCACGTTTGTGTTACATGTACGGTACGAGTACTCAGGATTTTCCGCTCGGCCGTGAGTCAGTGTGATAAAATTGTATAATTGTGTTACATTTTGCACTTTGAATGAAGCATAATATTAGTGCTCAAAGATGACGCTTATGCAGCATGTAGAAACCTTTGACAAGCATACAAAAATGTTGGGAGAGCGTCGTTAGGGGTCCTTTGAAGCTCCAAGTGCTTGTTTTCTTGAGGACAAATCTGAAGAATCTGT